TCGCCGGACGGCGGCGGGGGGGGGGGGGGGGGGGGGGGGGGAGGGGGGGGGGGGGGGGGCGGTTACTGGTTTCGGAGGATCCGGGGACCAGGTGAGAATGTCGGCCCAGGTTCGACTGAAGAGGCTTGAGCAGCTGCTCCAACAAGAGACGGGGTTCGTGAGTTTCGAGACTCTGTTGGACCTGCTGCTCTGCCTCTACACAGAGTGCAGTACCAGCGCCTCCCTCAAGAGGGAGAAGCATATATGCGACTTCCTGCAGTGGGGTGAGTCCAACTCCAGGAACAGCTCCTGAACTTGACTGACATACACGCATACGTCACAACTCACTCATCTACGTCATTTATTTTTGTCATTGGAGTAGACGTAGTTAACGTAAAGTAGTTGTTTCTCTTTGAAATTCTCTGTTTACTGACAAACACGTGACTTGTCAGTAGTGACGTAGTAGTTTGTGACACAGTTGAAGACTTTTCAAGTGTTGTTTTTAGCGCCCCCAGCAGATTTTGTTCACTTCAAACAGTCAACAGTAAATTAATTCATTCCCTGAGAGGTCAGCACAGAGTGACCTTTGTGTGTGTGTGTGTGTGTGTGTGTGTGTGTGTGTGTCCTCAGCCAAACCCTTCACCACCACAGTGAAGGAGCTGCGTCTGCACAGAGATGACTTTGAGATGTTGAAGGTGATTGGACGAGGAGCCTTTGGGGAGGTGAGACTTCCTGTTGACCCCTGACCCTTATGGTCATTCTCATGGCCCACAGCTGTAGACCACATGGGTCTGACCAACATATCCCAGAACATATGGGCCACTGAGCTCAGCTACTGTGACACAAACATCATATCTGAGGAGACATACCATCAGTCAGTCACACCATCAGTCAGTCACACCGTCAGACATACCGTCAGTCAGACACACCGTAAGACATACCATCAGTCAGTCACACCATCAGTCAGTCACACCGTCAGACATACCGTCAGTCAGACACACCGTCAGACAGACCGTCAGTCATACGGTCAGTCAGACACACCGTCAGTCAGACAGACCGTCAGACACACTGTCAGTCACACAGTCAGTCAGACACACCGTCAGACACACGGTCAGTGAGTCACACCGTCAGACAGACCGTCAGTCAGATACACCGTCAGTCAGACAGACCGTCAGACACCCTGTCAGTCACACAGTCAGTCAGACACACCGTCAGTCAGACAGACCGTCAGACACACTGTCAGTCACACAGTCAGTCAGACACACCGTCAGACACACCGTCAGTGAGTCACATCAGTCACACCGTCAGTCAGACACACCGTCAGTCACACCATCCTACTACTGTACAACCACACACACACACACAAATGAAACAAGACATGGACTGTTCTGTCCCCCGTCCGTCCGTCCCCCGTCCGTCCCCCGTCCGTTCCCCAGGTTGCCGTGGTGAAGATGAAACACACAGAGAGAGTTTTTGCCATGAAGATTCTGAACAAGTGGGAGATGCTGAAGAGGGCAGAGGTAATGCTACGCTAACATGCTATTTGTGGTAGCCTTATGTTAGCATTAGCTCAGGCTAATCTGTGGCTACGTGATGTGCAGACGGCGTGTTTTCGCGAGGAGCGTGATGTCCTGGTGAAGGGTAACAGTCCGTGGATCACCAGACTTCACTACGCCTTCCAGGACGACAACTACCTGGTCAGTACTGGCACCACGGGCCGAAGCACTCCATCACATGGAACCGATTCAGGGGTGTGTTCTGACCTCATGTCTTGTCTCCAGTACCTGGTCATGGACTACTACGTGGGCGGAGACCTGCTGACTCTGCTCAGTAAGTTTGAAGATCGTCTTCCAGAGGACATGGCCCGGTTCTACTTGGCTGAGATGGTCCTGGCCATCCACTCCATCCACCAGCACAACTACATCCACAGGTGAGGTCCAGCACCGCCTTCGGACCATCTCATCCACCACGGTTTGGTTTTCTAAATCCTGGGCCTCGGTGTCGGCCTGACGTGACATCATTTGGACCAGAGTTAGCAGCTGCCGTGGTCCTGGTCCTGGTCCTGGTCCTGGTCTCCACCTTCAGACTGAAGTCGTGTCAGAGAGAGGAACCATCCAGAACTGTTCAGAAACTCTGTTCATGTCTGAGGAAAAGAGCTCTTCCTGTTGGAGCCGCCGACTCTTCCTGCTCCACCTTCTCCTTCCTTCCTGCAGTGACAGTCTGATGGTCAACAGGTGGTGCTGTGCACTGACAGAACTCCTTTGTGTTCACAGAGACATCAAACCCGACAACGTCCTGCTGGAGGTCAACGGTCACATTCGTTTAGCCGACTTTGGATCCTGTCTGCGTACGCTGGAGGACGGCACGGTAAGACCCCGACCCCGAGGGTTCGGTTCTGACCCTGGTACCGGCCGCTCTCACTGGTTCACGCTCCCGCAGGTGCAGTCCTCCGTTGCCGTGGGAACACCCGACTACATCTCCCCAGAGATCCTGCAGGCCATGGAGGACGGGATGGGTCGCTACGGTCCAGAGTGCGACTGGTGGTCTCTGGGGGTCTGCATGTATGAGATGCTGTACGGTGAAACCCCCTTCTACGCCGAGTCCCTGGTGGAGACTTATGGAAAGATCATGAACCATGAGGTTAAGCCCTGACCCCGTCCTTCAAACTGACACCACACAGACCACGCCCCAATAAATGACACGCCGGCCGATGCCCCCTGTAGGTCCAAAAAGTAAAATCATGTCCAACATGTTCCAAAGTAAAAATCTTTTTTTTCTTCATTGACACTGAAAAAAATAAATCTTATACAAAATATAATCAAAAAAGTCAACTCTTAACTCAGAGTCAGTACCGACCAACACCAGACCACGTCTCCTGCAGCTTTCAAAATAAAAGGTTCCACTTCTGAAGACCAAAGTAGACCGGGTCTCAGGAGTGGTCATGTGACTGGCGTGTGCCACTTCCCCACGTCTCCAGACTCTCACCCTACTTTGGTCCTCCTAAATTTGGAGACTGGGTCTCTGACTCACTCTGTCTCCCCCTTCCTCTGTCTTCAGGAGCGTTTCCAGTTCCCGTCCCACGTGACGGACGTGTCGGAGGACGCCAAAGACCTGATCCGACGCCTGCTCTGCCCGAGGGAATGTCGGCTCGGTCTCAACGGGATCTCGGACTTCAAGAACCATGCGTTTTTCCGTGGCGTAGACTGGGAGAACATCCGTTCTACCGACGCCCCCTACATCCCGGACGTGTCGTCCCCCACGGACACCTCCAACTTTGACGTGGACGACGATGTCCTGAAGAACCCGGTGAGGAACGGGCCGCCTGTTAGACCGGAGCCTGTGGTGTGTGACCAGCTGTTGACCATGTGTTTCCCACAGGACGGGGGTCACGTGACCTCTCACACTGGCTTTACGGGGCAGCACTTGCCCTTCGTGGGCTTCACCTTCACCTCGGACTGCTGCTTCTCAGAGCGCTGCCCACCACGGGGGGGTGGGGGCGAGGAGGCGGAGCTTTTCCAAAGGAGGATACGCCTCCTGGAGGAGGAGAAGGAGGCGCTAGGACGCAGGCTGCAAGGTAAGGCTGAGAGGTCACATGCCACCCTGAAGAACTGACCTCTAATCCTGACCTTTTGACCCCAGCAGAGTCCACTTCTCCTCTAGGAGGAAGTTCAGGTCCAGGTCTGAGCCGAGACAAAGAGACAAAGAAACTGAACGAAGAGATTGAACGATTGAAGAAAAAGCTGGAAGGTGAGGAGTTCAACTGGTGGGTGGGGGTCCAGTCTGCAGCCCGGTGAAGAGCTAGAACTTCATTCATCCCTGTGGAGTTCCCTTCAGGAAATGAAGGAGAAGATAGTTTGTACAATCATTTACACATTCACAGCGGACACTAGAGGGCGCTGTGGTAACAGGGTTACAGTTTTCTGTACCAGCTGACGCTAGAAGGCGCTGTGGTAACAGGGTTACAGTTTTCTGTAACTCCTGACCCTAGAGGGCGCTGTGGTAACAGGTTTACAGTTTTCTGTACCAGCTGACGCTAGAAGGCGCTGTGGTAACAGGGTTACAGTTTTCTGTAACTCCTGACCCTAGAGGGCGCTGTGGTAACAGGTTTACAGTTTTCTGTACCAGCTGACGCTAGAGGGCGCTGTGGTAACAGGGTTACAGTTTTCTGTAACTCCTGACCCTAGAGGGCGCTGTGGTAACAGGTTTACAGTTTTCTGTACCAGCTGACGCTAGAGGGCGCTGTGGTAACAGGGTTACAGTTTTCTGTAACTCCTGACCCTAGAGGGCGCTGTGGTAACAGGTTTACAGTTTTCTGTACCAGCTGACGCTAGAAGGCGCTGTGGTAACAGGGTTACAGTTTTCTGTACCAGCTGACGCTAGAAGGCGCTGTGGTAACAGGGTTACAGTTTTCTGTAACTCCTGACCCTAGAGGGCGCTGTGGTAACAGGTTTACAGTTTTCTGTACCAGCTGACGCTAGAAGGCGCTGTGGTAACAGGGTTACAGTTTTCTGTACCAGCTGACGCTAGAGGGCGCTGTGGTAACAGGGTTACAGTTTTCTGTACCAGCTGACGCTAGAGGGCGCTGTGGTAACAGGGTTACAGTTTTCTGTACCAGCTGACTGTGGTAAGCGTTGGTGTTCATTAGAGCTAAGAAAGAAGACGTGGTCTTCTACCGTCAACCCCTGTAACTACACTGTGATACTGCAGTAATACCTGTGTAATACTACAGAAGTGTTGAAGTCTGAAGCCCCGCCCCTCTGTGATGTGGCAGACTCTGATAGGCTGCAGCAGCGGCTGGAGGAGGCGGTGTCTCTCAGGCAGGACTCTGAAGGTTCTGAGTCCAAACTGAAGACCTTGGAGACACAGGTGAAGACACTGAGACAGGACAAGGACCAGGTCCACAAGGTAAGAACTCAAAGTTAGTCCACAAGTCCAGGTCTAGGTTTTGGTACCCTCTGACCCCGACTCACCCTCTGAGCAGCAGCTGGCTGACTCCTTGGAGCATCTGCGCGTTCAGACCAAGGAGCTGAAGGAGGCGCACTCCCAGAGAAAGGCGGCGCTGCAGGAGTCCTCAGAACTGACAGAGAAGATGTCGGAGCTACGCTCGTCCAAACAGCGTCTGTCCCGTCAGCTGAGGGACAAGGAGGACGAGCTGGACCTCCTCCTGCAGAAGGTGGAGGGGAGCAGGCAGGAGGTCCGCAGGGCCGAGAAGAGGAACAAGGAGGTGAGAGGAACGTTGTAACGTGTAAACATATCACCCCCTTCTGGTCACATGATGCATCTGCAGTTTTCAAAATTTAAAAAAGAAATAAAAACACAGAACAGGTGAGATGCTGGCTCTGAATACACCACTAGAGGGAGCAGTGTATGGGACAGAAGGTTAATAAAGAGTCTCTCTCTCTCTCTCTCTCTCTCTCTCTCTCTCAGCTGGAGGCTCGGTTGGACGACTCTAGGTCGGAGGCGTCCACAGAGAGGAAGTTGCGTGAACACAGTCAAGTTTATGCCAAAGAGCTGGAGGCGGAGCTACAGCGCCTGAAGGTGTGACATCACCAACAGCAGTTCTCCCCAGGTTCTCCAGTTCACCAAGTAAACATGCTCTGGTTCTGGTTCTGGTGTCAGTCTCAGCAGGGTCAAGGAGTAGTCGCTGTGGGGGCGGAGTCTCAACAGGAGTTGATGCATTTGAAGGCGGAGCTTGAGAAGAAGGTGCTGTTCTATGAGGAGGAGCTTCTGCGTCGAGACTCCGCCCACACCTTAGAGATCAAAAACCTCCGCAAAGACCTGCAGGAATCCGAGGGGGCGCAAGTGAGCTGCAACAAGGAGCTGCTGCAGCTGAGGGAGAAGCTGGACCAGGTCCGGAGAGACAGGTGAGTCCAGGACTGGGTCGGTCCTGAACCAGGCCAGTTGAGACCCCGGTGAGACCTGACGCAGGTTTTGGTGTGACCCTGCAGACAGAGGGAGGTGGAGGAGGTGGTGGCAGCTCTGAAGGAAAAACACGAACGGGAGAAGATTCTCCTGACGCAGAAGAACCGCAAGATGACGGCAGAGACTGAGAAGGTGAGGGTCCGGTCCCTTTATCAGACACTGTGGTCCTGGTTGGTCCTGGTTTTGGTTCCTCACAGTTTGGTCTCCTCAGCTGTGCTCCTTTGTGGACAAACTCACGGCTCAGAACCGTCAGCTGGAGGATGAGCTCCAAGATCTGTCTTCCAAGAAGGAGGGCGTGGCCCACTGGGAGGCCCAGATCGCTGAGATCATTCAGTGGTGGGTGGAACCCGGACCATTTCTGCTCTTGGTCCTGGACTTGAATGGTCTTGATGGTGTCTTCTTCTCTGCTTCAGGGTCAGTGATGAGAAGGACGCCCGAGGTTACCTCCAGGCTCTGGCCACCAAGATGACGGAGGAGCTGGAGGTCCTGAGGAACTGCAGTCTGGGACCCAGAACCCAGGTACCACAACCAGAACCACAACCCTTCATTGAGTACCTGCTGCTGGTGACGCTGTGGTAATGGGCGTGGTCTGTTTCAGGACCCACTGTGGAAGGTGCGGCGAAGTCAGAAGTTGGACATGTCGGTGCGGCTGGAGCTGCAGTCGGCGCTGGACGCTGAGATCAGGGCCAAGCAGTTGGTCCAGGAGGAGCTGAGAAAGGTCAAGGTCACCAACATCAGCCTGGAGAGGTCAGAGTTCACGCCGAACGCCTAAGTCCAAATAGCCAATCACTGTGTGCTGTGGATCATGCTAACGCAGTAGCTTAGTTAGCTTCTGTGCGCTATGGTTAGACCTCCAATGAGGAACCCTGTGTGCTAGCCCCGCCCCTGGATCATTAGGAAAGGAGGAGGGGCCTGCTGATGTCATTCTCCATGACAGAAACTGCTCCTCACTCAGCGCCCCCTGCTGGCCAGCTGTAGTACTCGGGTCAGATCCGTGTCCTTGTCTGTGTGCAGCAAAATAAAGGAGGTGGAGGAAAGGAGCAGGAACCTAGAGGAGCAGAAGGAGAACCTGAAGAAGGAGCTGGAGGAGAAGCGCCGCCACTCGGACAAAGGTGACTTTCCACTTCCTGTTCTCGTCGCGTTCATTTCCTGTGATAAAACCGTAGTGTCAATGTGGTGAAATAGCTCTAGAACAAGCCTGTCCTCTGACCTCTGACCTCCACCGTAGCCACGTGGTGATGACATCACTGATCTGTAAACATGCTGGCTGTTGATTGGCTGTGACTGGCTCCTGCTCTGTCCTCAGGTCTGAAGCTCCCAGACTTCCAGGACTCCATCTTTGAATACTTCAACACTTCACCTCTGGCTCCTGACCTGACCTTCAGGGTGAGTCTAACCTTTGACCTCAGGGTTGGGGGTTCAATCTCCCTGTGACTCATCTGGTTCTTGTTTCCACCTGCAGGCCGCAGACTTGGACTCCTCCCCGCAGAACCTGGAGACCACGCCCACTTCTCACGTCTCTGACTCTGAGGTTAGCACGTTCACTTCCTGTTAGCACGTCCCACCGCCGATGTTCACTTCCTGTTAGCACGTCCCACAGTTAGGACTCACTGTTTTTGTGTCCTCAGGTGGTGGGGACTGTGTCCGTCCCATCAGGCTCCCCCACCTCTGACCACAGCGCCACCCTGAGCCTGCCGAAGGTAGGACTTCTCTCTGCAGGAGGTGGCGGACGGTGGTGAAGCGGTTTAGACTCATGCTCTGTGTCTTTTTCAGCCCAAGGCCCATCAGTTGAGCATCAAGACCTTCTCCAGTCCAACACAGTGTTGTCACTGCAGTGCCCTCATGGTGGGGCTAATGCGCCAGGGCTTTGCCTGTGAAGGTAGGTCTCCGCCCACCCCTGCACCCCATCAAAGTTCTGGGTCCGTCTAACACCCTCCCCCCTCCCATCTCCACAGAGTGCTCCTTCATCTGCCATGTGACCTGTAAAGACCACGCCCCCCAACTCTGTCCAATCCCAGCAGAGCAGGCGAAGAGGCCGCAGGGCATCGATGTCCAGCGAGGCATCGGTACCGCCTACAAGGGTTATGTCCGGGTGAGTCGGAGCTGCCACTCGGCACTTTTCCCTGAGTGACTCGGCAATGACTGGTCAATCCCGTCCTCTCGTCTCCGTCTCAGATCCCGAAGCCCAGCGGCGTGAAGAAAGGCTGGCAGCGAGCCCTGGCCGCGGTCTCCGACTGTAAGCTCTTCCTCTACGACGTTCCAGAGGGGAAGTCCACGCAGCCAGGAGTGGACGCCGCCCTGGTTCTGGACCTGAGGTAACGTCAGGATCCGCCGCACTCACACGTACCTGTACTTGTAGCGGGGGGGCGTAAACCTACGACGTTGGTCTTTTCAGGGACGAAGAGTTCTCCGTTAGCTCCGTCCTCGCCTCAGATGTGATCCACGCCACCAGGAAGGACGTTCCCTGCATCTCTCTGGTAGGTGACCGGAGCTGTGGAGGTGGTACACGGTACACGGTACACAGTACAGAGTACACAGTGCAGAGTACACAGTGCAGAGCACACAGTATACAGTACACAGTACAGAGTACAGAGTACACAGTACAGAGCACCCAGTACACAGTACACAGTACAGAGTACAGAGTACACAGTACAGAGCACACAGTACACAGTACACAGTGCAGAGTACACAGTGCAGAGCACACAGTATACAGTACACAGTACAGAGTACAGAGTACAGAGTACACAGTACAGAGCACACAGTACACAGTACACAGTGCAGAGTACACAGTGCAAAGCACACAGTATACAGTACACAGTACAGAGCACACAGTATACAGTACACGGTGCAGAGTACACAGTACACAGTACAGAGTACACAGTACACAGTACACAGTACACAGTACAGAGTACAGAGTACAGAGTACACAGTACAGAGTACACAGTACAGAGCACACAGTACACAGTACACAGTACAGAGTACTTTTTTACTGCTGCTCTGCAAATATAATAGCACCTCAGGAGATGCTAGTTCGATTCCCTGTGGTTGGATCAGACCAGGTCTACTGTGTCCACATGGGGGAGCCCACCCCCACTCACCTCCTCCTCCTCCGTCAGGTGACCTCCTCTCAGCTGATGGCCCAACTGTCCTCGGTGTCACTCCTGGTTCTGGCTGAGAGTGAGGTGGAGAAAAGGAAGTGGGTCAGAATCCTGGAGAGTCTTCAGAACATCCTGACCAAGAACCTCCCGAAGAACCGTCCGGTCCACGTCCTGCATCAGGCCTACGACGCCTCGCTGCCCGTCATCAAGACCACCCTGTCAGCAGCTGTTCTGGGTCAGTAAACAAACATTTACCCCAGCTGATGTGGCACCGCCCCCTACTGTTCTGACCGTGTTTACTCCGACTGCAGATCCGGAGCGCATCGCCCTGGGAACGGAAGACGGACTGATAGTGGTGGAAGTGACCAGAGACGGTGAGTGAGACTGACACCTGGTGGTGTCACCTGGTGGTGGCCCCTGGTGGGGTCCCCTGGTCTGA